TACAAACATTGACCGAATCACGTGTTTTGATAACAAAGCTAGAGACCAAGGGGTAAGGAGCAGTGCACTGCTTTTCATGTGTTTTATAGAATTAGACTATAGATTATATTATGTGGGGACCGAGGGCTCATTGTCCGAGTATAAGGCAGACACTCCTGAATTAGGGGTAGATTGGTTCGTAGAGTATTAATGACTACCTAGTTGGTTTGTGTGTACATAGTAGGTCTGTGCAGCTTCTAGTGATAATACAAAATTATTATATTTATTATGTAAGAATTATTATAAGAGTTATGTGTATATAGAAATAATTTTCTACAAAATGGACTAGAAGAGTAACTTACATATTGAGGCAATTTCCTTTTCCATTAACAATGGACAGTCAAAATTATACACGCGTATCCCCTCGATATACGATTTTAGACTCGAGGGTTCCCCTTTGTAATGCGATCTAGAAAGGCAGGCCTCCCCGTCGAAATACGAGCTCGGAAGCGGGAGCTCTGCCTTCAGAGGTACGTATCGAGAATGACTCGGACCGAGAATTTTCTGAGTCAAAATTTTTCAAAGTTTTTCTGGAAACTACTTTTGTTCATGTTTCATGCTACCCTGATCATTATGAGCCGAAAATATTTTTTCGATTTTCTGAAGTCCGACCTATACGATTTTGGGCTCGAGGGTTCCCCTTTGTAATGCGATCTCTGAAGGCAGGCCTCCCCTTCGCAATACGAGCTCGGAAGCGGGAGCTCTGCCTTCAGATGTACGTATCGAGAATGACTCGGACCAAGAATTTTCTGAGTCAACATTTTTCAAAGTTTTTCTGGAAACTACCTTTGTTCATGTTTCATGCTACCCTGATCATAATGAGCCGAAAATATTTTTTCGGTTTTCTGAAGTCCGTATTTACATTCGGAAGGCTGTGGATGTGATTGGTTTCATATACTTATAGCTTTATACTTATAGAGGGGGGGGGGGGGGGGGCCAATGGCATAAAATGGAGACTTTTTCTATGGAGAAAATGAAAAAACCCATGAGTAATTCTCCATTTTCTCCATTTTATGCCATGAATTTTGTCTTCGAAATTTCATCTTTAACACCATTTAACACCTAAATTGGACATCCTAACATGTTTATTTACGCTTACTAGGGGCGTAACAAGCTTATGAAAGCTCATAGTAGGCTACTAGATGCTTATACTAGGTTAGTAGAGGCACACTTTAGGCAAACTAATAATTACTCAAGCCTAGTGTAAAGTTATTTCTACAGGCTACAGCAGGAGTGAGTTATGAGTAATAGGGGAGAGTAATAGGCACTGAGAAGTGAGACCTACATCCTCGACAGTCGAAACAAGCTCGCACTGCAAAGGGGAGGCCTGCCTTCCGAGATCGTATTACCAGGGGGAAGCCTCGAGTCCTAATATTTTGTATCGAGGGGTAGGTGCAGACTTCGATAAACCGAAAAACCAAAAAAATATTTTCGGCTAATAATGAAGAAGGTAGCATGAAACGTGGAGAAAAGTGGTTTTTAGAAAAACTTTGAAAAATTTTGACTTAGAAAATTTTCGGCCCGAGTCATTCTCGATACGTACCTCTCGTATCGAGAGCTCCCGAGTCCGAGCTCGTGTTGCAAAGGGGAGGCCTGCCTTCCGAGATCGCATTACCAGGGGGAAGCCTCGAGTCCAAAATTGTGTACCGAGGGGTAATTTTCTAAGTCAACATTTTTCAAATTTTTTCTGAAAAACACTTTTCTCCACGTTTCATGCTACCTTGTTCATTATTTGCCGAAAATATTTTTTCGGTTTTTCGAAGTCCACCTTCCCCTCGATACACAATTTTGGACTCGAGGTAATGCGATCTTGGAAGGCAGGCCTCCCCTTTGCAACACGAGCTCGGAATCGGGAGCTCTCGATACGGGAGGTACGTATCGTAAATGACTCGGACCGAACATTTTCTAAGTCAACATTTTTCAAAGTTTTTCTGAAAACCACTTTTCTCCATGTTTCATGATACTCTGTTCATTATTGGCCGAAAATATCTTTTTTCAAAATAATTTTTCTCGAAATTCTAAATTTTTCAGGTTTTCAATGGCATAAAATGGCATAAAATGGCATAAAATGGAGACTATTTCTATGGAGAAAATGGAAAAACCTATGAGTAATTCTCCATTTTCTCCATTTATGCCATTGCCCCCCCCCCCCCCCCCCCCCCTTATAGAAAACGTGATATTTGGCCCGCAGATTTGAAGGAAAATAGGCGAATTTGGTCTTCAGATTTAAAGGAAAATGTGCAATTTGTCGTGGAGAACTGAAACATCGCGATTTTTCGCGAGGCCATGATCTGAAAAAATCGCGAACGTGAAAAATCGCGATTCCGCACATGCCGCAATTTCCTTTTGTCCTTGCCCCGAAAGTTTTTGAAATGCAGGCTTTGGCGCGAAGCGCCAAATAAAATTTAGAATTTGGCCCCCCATGAAGAAAATCATTCCTACACCCCTGAGTCAAAAGTTTGACTAAATTTATGGTAGACTAAATTTGTCGTTCTTAAGGTATTGGTAAATTTTTTTAATAGAGTTTACGACGACAGTGGCTTAATTTTAGCATCTATTAATCTAGCATGTTCAAAAGCTCTGAACATTAGCCACGTGACCCATACTCCCATATGCACTGTTCAGAAATAAAATGTATTGTTGTTAGGCACTATAATGTAAAAAATGTCACATTTTTGTGACTGTGTTAACCATAGCTGCCCATAGTGCCCAATTAGCATTCTTTGCTCTAAAATATAGTAGATTAAGTCAATCATATCTAACAATTATGATACAACATTGGTTAGACTTAGAGGGCAGGGATCGAACGGTTTTAAGGCAATATTTCGTTTTAAATAGATGTTTTTAAGATAGTATTACAATTATGTATGATTTAATTTTCATAACTTTTAACAATACACTGATTGTACAAATTTGTAAAAAAAATATGGGAGTGGCCTCATAGGGCGTGGTCAAAGAAATTTTAAACCATGTTCAAACGAAATGCTTAGGTTACATTTATATTCGAGTAGAAAGTCTCAAAGCTCTAAATCAATCCAATCAGTTAAAAATCCGAGCGTGCTAAATCACTCTACAGTCGATCTTCGAGATTGTTCTAAAAGGCCCCCCGACGGTTGTAACCAACTTCAATCGATGTATTTTCGGACGCTGATTCCGAATCACCCCCCATGACATAGGGTTAAAATGCTCCCCTGACGAGATATTGGCGAAAAACTGTCTCGATCACGTGATATGACCGTATAAGGAAGTTAGTCTAATTTCTCGTCAGGGTTAGGGTTTCAGCATATGTTTTTGTTAAGGATTGGGTTAGCGTTAGGGTTGGGATGAGATTAGACGGTTAGGGTTTCGAAAAGTCGTTCAGAACCAGCTAGAGAACGAGTTGAAAAAGTCACGTGACAGTCGAGTGTAGAGTGATTAATCATCATCCTTAAAAATCTGCGATTTTCGTGTTTTTATGTGTATAAGAAATAGGGGCGTGGTCACAGAGTCTTGAAAACATGTTTCAACGAAATTCCATTATCACATTTATATTAGAGTAGAAAGTCTCAGTGCACAGAAATGGCACTATCATGTGAAAAACGTGATTTTCACTATTTTACCTGTATAAGAAGCACTATAAAATATGGGCGTGGCCCAAGTCAGTATTATACGAAACCGTAGAGACAAAACTTTTTTTTGGTTGTTCCTGACCCTATAGAGCAACTAATTAGAGGTGATCTCTAATTGCTAATTATTTGAACGAAAAGTGGTTTTGTGAACCGGCCTAGTGAGGGTACAGAGGGATGTATCTAAAATACTAACAGTTCTTTGTATTATCTATTGTGCTATTGGGACCACTACTGAACTGGCTGAGAATAAAAATACTAGTAAAGTTGTAAAAATACTAGTATGTCAGTTGTACAGTACAATTCTTTTTATGTAGTTATATTGGCTTAACAAAGAAGTGTTTTTCAATTCAGATTTCTATGAGTCAGTGCTATATTGATGATAATCTTAATGTTAAAATTTTGAAATGTATAAACTGGTGCGAATTCCTGAGATTTGAATTTCAAAGGTCTTTAGATTACACGATGAACGATCGTATATGAATTTTACCAGCTGTATTCTTTTACTGAGCTGCTTTTTATCAATATATTGACCCTGTTGTGTGCGGAGGCCACTAACCAGATACATAGCAAATACTTTATGCGAATATCGTATACTTTTTATTTGTTGGTAGTTTATGTTGCTACGGCCCAATAGTCACTATCTTTTTAAACATTCTGTGCAATACGTCACTGGGGCCACCACATCGCGCCTCAGAGCTGAGACAGAGCATTGTGCCTCAAAGCATCGTGCACTGATAGTGGACCATTTTTTAATGCATAAAACCTTATAACAGAACAATGAAGCCGTAATTTAAACCAAATTGCCTTATTAATTTATCAACCTTCAGAGCGGATGAAATTCAGTCTGAGCTCTGTGATATGATCTCAGATCTGCTGCGGAACTTTTTAAATGGATTTAAAGCTTGCCAGAGTGATTACAGGTTTGTTCTGAAAACTATTTCTTTTTTCGTTCAGTTCTCATAAATTTGATATTTCAGGATACAGGTATTATCCACCCACAGATTTTTAACGGGTCACGTACAGCCAAGTGACGTGACACAAGGGACGTGACGTCAACAGATGCAGAATTCCAAAAGTATCAAAGTTTCTCAGGAACTTAAACACTTGTTAAGGACGCGGTATAATTTGACAATTAGATTCGTGTCGTTATAACAATCACAATTTGCACCATATTGTACATTGCTCCATATCGACACAGCACACGTCTCATATGACCCGAAAAATAGGTCACGTGACATATTTGAGGCCCTTTGAGTGGGAGAGCTATACTAAGGTCTCCAGGTTAGAGTAACAGCTGCTTACTTCACTTAGATTTACAAGAGCCGTGAAATTATAACTCGGTTAGGAACAGGGGCAGTTAAACAAAAACTAATCACTCTTTCGATCGCTGTACGTTTAAAAGTTTTGATTGATCCAAAAATTTGATAGTCAACAATCAAGGTCTTGCTTATGTTGTGATGTTCTGAGAGCAGGACTCATTATACGTTCGCTATTTTCATCCCTGATCTCATAGCCGCACTTTGGCTTTGAAGGTCACCAAGGAGCTTCGACAATGGATCACAAATATTTGGTATGTTTTGGACAGCTGATTAACTCTGGTAGTCATGATGTCAGGTTACCAGAAATGTAAATCTTACTATCTTTTAGCTGATAAAATTATAGCCTTGGTTTAAAGACTAAAATCTTGATTAACATTTATTATGTAATGGAAACCGATGAGACGACAATTTTCAGACAATCCTACTGATCGTGATGTCTTTAGTGGCACTGAACTATACAGGACTCACACACGACATTCAAGACGGGGAAATATTCGAGGGGGACATTTTATGGGACGACAATCTCCATCCGTTCTGGGATAGAATACAGAAACGAAGCGTAAACTCTTCAGGAAATAATCCGGGAAATAACGTCTCAACTGTGGGGAATAATAGTAATACCCAGAATTCTGGAAATGGTGTCCTGAATCAGGACAATAGCACAAATCAGACTGGCAACAATCCTCCGAACACTAACAGCGTCTGGAGCTACAAGACCTCTGATAACGAGGGTTCCTTGACTTACACCATTCCCTACGAAGTCTCTGCTATGAGTGAGTTTTTTCAGCGGGGAAAACTTAATTTCTGGTTGATCGCGTACTCTACTGAGAATGGCCGCTGATGAGCGACTAAGAGTACAACTAATCTCAAATATTAGTAGAGAGTGAGACTACTAATCTCTAAAAGTCAAATTTATTCTAATTATGTATACTAATTATACTAACACTCATCACACCAACCTTCAGTAATGATATTACTTCTCAGCGGACCCGCAGGCAGTGGTGTTTATCAAAGTGGCGATGAAGGAATGGAACAAGGGAACTTGTGCGTTGTTTGTTCCTAAGACTACGGAAACTAACTTCGTCAGTTTGAGACCTGGCAAGTGAGTAAATGAGACAAGGCTTTAGTTTACACCGTTTATAAATAATATGAACACCTCAACGAATAGTTAATATATTATTCCATACTGTTTGAACATTTAGTTTTACTTTTGTCCTCAATCTGATGCAGATTGCAGAACTAAAAATATGTATTCAAAGATAAAGAAAACTTACCCTTATACTTAAAGTTAAACGAGTCACGGCTTCACGCGTTACCGCTCACGCACGACGCACCTCCACTTCAGCTCGTGTTCATCTCACGTGGGTATGGTGGGAGGTCAGCAGTTCGTGACAATCAGTCCTGGGTGCCAGTACGACCACGGAGCTCTCATGCACGAGCTTGGTCATGTCCTAGGTAGGGTAGCTTAGATTTTAGTAAGCATTACATCAACAGACAGAGCGTAATGATCAATGATTTTACGTTAAACTTGACCCTGATGTGAAAAAAGAACAATTTTACATCACAATTAATCTATATTGACGAATTTGTTACTTTGTTTCGTGAAAGATTTTTATAAATGCGTAACAAAATTAACACAGGCTTGTTCCACGAACACACCAGACAGGACAGAGACCAGTATGTGCAGATCATCCAAGGTAACCTTCTTCCTGGAGCTTTTGGTATCAACTTCAAGAAGATGACGCACAGCCCTTCATATGTTAGGAATGACAACTACGATTACGTCAGGTGAGTTCAATTGTGATCATACGGTATAGGGGAATATCTTGATCACATTCTATGACCGAATCTGTGATTAAATTTAACTTTATCAAGAAAGTTTGATTTAGTAACGTTATAAACAGCACTGCCAATAAACATTCGCATTGATGTCACATATACATTTTATACCACCATTAAAAGTAAAACAAATAGCTCGCTTAACCAGGTCATTCTCAGCGTAATGCACTACGGAAAGAGTCACTTCGAAAGCATTAACAGGTCATTCTCAGCGTAATGCACTACGGAAAGAGCCACTTCAGTAAGCTTAAGACCAGGTCATTCTCAGCGTAATGCACTACGGAAAGAGTCACTTCAGTAAGCTTAACCAGGTCATTCTCAGCGTAATGCACTACGGAAAAGTCACTTCAGTAAGCTTAACCCGGTCATTTCTCATGCGTAATGCACTACGGAAAGAGTCACTTCGTAAGCTTAACCGGGTCAGTTCTCAGCGAATGCAACTACGGAATGAGTCACATCAGTAAGGCCTCCCTACAGATCTCACCACAATCCGTCCTTGGACAGCCTCATACCAGGACGGATCGGACCAGAGGGACCGTGCTGTCCGCGCGTGACGTCGAGAAAGTCAACCTTATTTACAACTGCGGTAAGAGTACTTTAGAGGGGGAAACTTTGATCGATTTTAGAAGCTTAGTCTTAAACTGGTAATAAAGAGAATATTTTGCTTTCTTCGATTTTTTGGTCAAGAATTCTGTGCTTATTGTATGAAACCCTAGCTCGACAGTAGCCTTGAATCACAACCATCTCAGACTGCAAGATAGTGAACACAACACACACTTACACTCGCAGATATTGGGGAGAGTGCACCTACCTCTTCGGTCTGATTACCTGGCGCTGCATCAAGGAGGAGTAAGTTTTAAGATACGAGATACAGTACTTTGTAGTTTGTATGTACCTGTGACAAACTTGAGTGCACGATTGGGCTATTTTCTGGTGCCAATAGTGAGCTATTATGTCAAGAAATTGTGCAGAATATGTTGATCGGGAACAAAAACATCATTGATGATTTTTCTCAATCTGCAGTAAAGAGTTTATAATGAGGTTTGTGAGATTCGTTTAAACTACTCAAGTTCCATGAAACATTATTAGATTGACCTAACAACGATGTGTTCAGAGAGGTTAATGAGATTTGGAGCAAGAAGAAATGCACAGACAGAACTCACAAATGGAACTGTTTAGCTATAGTTTACAATGAGGACTTGGAAGATGATAAGATGATACGACCCCGTGAATTGTGCCAATTTAAACTTCTTTACTGATTTATTGACAGTCGAAAAAGTTAGTTTCCTGATTTTTTAGGTACATTGGAAAATTGTGATTTATGTTTTTGTGAATTACGAAAAACTGTTTGGACAGGCTATTTTTATGTTAAATTGTAACCTTTTACCACTAGAATTAAATGTTGATCTTTGTCGACTTAGTTTACTGTAATTAATTAGCTAATTCTATTTTGAGATTAAAAACACTTCAATGTAATATTGTTTTACTTTTATAAAACAGAAGTTCAAACCACAGAATACAATCAAACTCGACAAATAACATTTAATCTAAAGTATCATGTAAATTATAATTTCTTTTCGTAGCATTAAAATTTAGATGATATCACGTTACCAATATAACTTTATATTCAAAGTGCAAATAGCTACTAAAATACAGAAAAAACTTATTAAATGTTCCTCAGAAATTGATGAACTAAATTGATGATAAAACCCAATGAAATTCCCTCATAAATGAATCTGTTAAAATTCGTATACAATCTGATAATAAACTTTCTTAAATTCATAAGCAGCAATTATCAATAATTGTATTTTATATAATGATCAACCAGTATATAAAATCAAATTTGAAAATTGTGGAATCATTCGGTTAAAGATTAAAATTCCAGGCGATGAGTGATCAGAACTTCAAATGTAAGGCAACTTAAAATAAGATAAATGTCGTAATTAAAACATACAGAAGTTACTTAATAAGCCATGAACTGTTTGAACACATCTGTGCAAGGCAAATAATTTGTAAATAAGTGAAAAGAAGAGTAAACAAACAAACAAATACATATTTAAAAATTTTACATATATTCGAACTTATATATTTTCATAGATCTTATATAATATTATCATAGATCTTTATAGATCTTTATTATAACAATTTCAGTTCGAGGACTATAATCTCCAAGTTTACCTCATCTCCAAGTTTCTCTCAACGATTTCATCAAAGAACACTTAATTCCTAACAGCAAAACCAACGGATGACTCTCTGTGACTCTTAATTCCAGCTGTTGTCTTCATCATCCCATTCACCATCACTTTCACTTTCACTATCACTGGTCCCATCGCCCATGTCACCCATAAGGAACTTTCTGCGTTGTAAGATTGAGGCAACGTCGTGGAACAGTGTAGCTGCGGGAGGACTAGGCTCTTTCTCTTTCTGATGAATTTTAAATAGTTAATTATTAATATGTGTTCTAAAGGAACGCACACTCGTCAGTGATGTAAAATGATTGCTATAGCACTATCAGACTAGCACTCTTTTGAATTTTGATTTTTAGGCTCATACTGTGTCGACTTTAGAAATACATTGACTGACTGCACTCATTTTCAAGACTGTGTTTACACGCTAAGTTTGGCTTCGTATCCGGTACCTTTAAACAGGTTTACGTCTGATTTTTAAAAGATCTATGTTTTGAAATTTTAACAAATTTCTACGGTCAATTCCACGTCTGTCAAAAATATTCGTACGTGCGCGTAAAATAATGACCAAATTCAAGCTTCGCGCGCTACGCAAAGTAGTCTGGCATAAAATCAGACAGAAGGACTTTCGAACAAATCTGTTCCAAATGAAAAGTTCGAAAATAGAGTGTTTACGAATAACTTTAGAATCATATTTTTGATTTTCCCAAGATCTGCCAAATGGATTTTTCTTTAAACTTTCCAGATAGTTACATGGCTATATGACGGATAATGTGTGAGAGTTTGGGCGAATTTCTATGTGCCAAAACCTGAGATTTGACTTCAACACAAGAAACTATCTCAAAAAAGGCGGTTTTCAGCGAACGGAGCACATATTCGAGATCCTACGAAAAATTTTCTTTAAACTTTCCAGATAATGTCATGGCAGTGAGACGGATATTCTGTGCGAGTGTGGACGAATTTCTATGTGCCAAACCTAGAATATGACTTCAAACACAAGAAAATATCTCAAAATGGGCGGGTTCTAGCGAACGCAAGGCAAATATTTCGAGATCCTACTGATAAATTTTCTTTAATCTTTCCAGATAGTTGTATGGCTGTGAGAACTGATATTCAGGCGATATTGGGCGAATTTGCTATGAGCACGACGTGAATATGACTTCAAACACAAGAAAATATCTCCGAATTGGCGGTTTTTTAGCGAACAAAGCATATATTTTGGAGATCTAAATGATAGAATTTTTTAAAACGTTCCAGATAGTTACATGCTAAAGCTTTAGAGCTATAGGAGGAGGAGGAGGACTGAGGAGGGGGAGGAGGACTGGGAAAACTGAGGAGGTCGGAGGTGTAGAGGAGGTGGACTCAGAAGGTAGGAGGAGAGGAGGAACTGAAGAGGACGAGGAAGTGAGGATGTGGAGGTATGGACTCGTCGGGAGGACTCAGGAGGAGTAGGAGATGAGGAGGAAGAGGAGGAGGACTCAGGGGACTCAGGAGTAGGAAGGACTGAGGAGGAAGAGGAGGATGAGGATGAGGAAGACTGAGGAGGAGACTGTGGAAAAGGACCCTTTTGAAAGGGAGGAGAGGAGTAAAGAGTATGAGCTGAAGATGACTGAGGAGGTTGATGAGAGGAGGGGGAGGAGAAGGAGGAGACTGGAAGAGGAGGAACTGAGGAGGAAAGGAGGAGGAAAGAGAGGACTTAAGAAGAGGAGGAGGACAAGTGAAGAGAATGAGGAACTGAGGGAAAGGAGGAGGAGGACGGACGAGGAGGACTGATGAGAGGAGAAGACTGCGATGAGAGGGAGGACTGAGATGAGGAGGAGAAAAGAGGAGGAGGAGGAGAAGGGAAAACTGAGGAGGACTGAGGAGGAGGAAGATGAGAAGGAGGAGATGACTCAGGGACTCAGAGTAGGAGACTGAGAGGAAAGGAGATGAGGATGAGGAAGACTGAGGAGGAGGACTGAGGAGGACTGAAGGAGAGGAGAAGGAGTATGACTGAAGATGAACTGAGGAAGATTGATGAGAAGGAGGGGGGAGGTGAAGAGGAGGACGGAAGAGGAGACTGAGGAGGGGAAAGGAGGAGGAAGAGGAGGACTGAAGACAGGAGAGACAAGGAAATGAGGAAGACTGAGGAGGAGGAGGGAGAGGACTGACGAGAAGGAATGATGAGGTAGGAGAAGTACGACATGAGGAGGAGGACTGAGGAGGAGGGAGGAAGAGGAGGAGGAGAGAAGGAAGACTGAGGAGGACTGAGAGGATGAAGAAAGACGGAGAGGAGGACTGATGAGGAAGAGAAGAAGATGACGAGGAGGAGGAGTACTGAGGAGGAGGAGAGAAGAGGATGAGGTCTGAGAATGAGTGGAGGAGGAGAGGAGAGGGAGAGAGGAGGAGGAGGAGGAGGAGGAGAGGAGGATGAGGAGGAGGAAGGAGGACGGAGGAGGAGGAGGAGGAGGAGGAGTGGAGGAGGAGGAGGAGGATGACTGACGTGGAGAAGGAGTACTGAGGAGAGGAGACGATGACTGAGGAGGAGAGTAGGGAGGAGGACTGAAGGAAGACTGAGGAGAGAGGAAGTGAAAGGAGAAGGTAGACTCAGAAGGCGGAGAGACATGAAGAGGACAGAAGTGGAGAGAGGAGGAGGAAGATGACTCAGGGAGGGTGTGAAATCAGAAGGAGGAGGAATCAGAAGGACCTCAGATGGAGGAGGACTCCCGAGACTCAGGAGGATAACTCAGAGGAGGAGGGGAGGATGAGTACACAGGAGTGGGAAGGGAGGACTGAGGAGGACTGAGAAGGAGGAGGATGAGAAGGAGGAGGAGGAGACTGAAGAGGAGGAGGAGAAGGAACTGCCGAGGGAGGAGAGACCGCAGGAGGAAGGAGGGAGGAAGATGACTGAGGAGGAGAGGACGGCTCGGAGACTGAGAAGGAAAGGAAGAGGAGGAGGAGGGACATGAGGAGAGAGGGAGATATGAGAGGAGGAGAGAGGAGGAATGTGAGAGTAGGAGGAGGAGAGGATAGGAGGAGGAGGAGGAGGAGGAAGCATATAAATGGTTATGTCCATGTTTCCCTTTACCATAACAACTTTTTTCCGCTTTTTTCGTTTTATTTATCCCTGTTTTTGTTCGCCCGTATACTTTTTGTCCTCTTTGAAAAATAAAGGGTACCGAACGGACAGAAACGGACACAAAACATGATCCCCCTTTCCAGATAATTGTGGGCCTAGAGACAGATAATCAGATGAAGAGGTGAGTACTGAAGAGGAGAATGAGGAGGAAGAGACCTGAAGGAGAGATGAGTAGACTGAGGAGGAAAAGGAGAGGATGACTGAAGCGAAAGGAGGATCGAGGAAGGAACTGAGGAGGAGACGAAGAAGAGAATGGGGGACTGTTATAGCCATACAAATATCTGGAAAGTTTAAAGAAAATGTATCAGTTATAGGATCTCGAAATATGAGTCTGGCGTTCCACTAAAACGCGCTAATTTGAGATGTTTTCATGATTTGAAGTCATATCCTTCAAGTTTGAGCCACATAAAATTTGCCCATAATCGCACAAATATTCCGTCCACAGCCATACAACTATCTGGAAAGTGTTAAAGAAATTCTTCAGTAGATCTCGAAATATGTGCCTGCGTTCCGCTAGAAAACCCGCCATTTGAGATATTTTCTTGTGGTTGAGTCATATCTCAGTTGGCACATAGAAAATTCGCCCAAATCGCACAGAATATCCGCTCAACAGCCATACAACTAGCTGACAGGATTAAGAAAAATTTATCAGTAGGATCTCGAAATATGTGCCTGCGTTCCGCTAGAAACCGCCCATTTTGAGATAGTCTTGTTTTGAATCAGATCTCAGGTTGGCACATAGAAATCGGCCCAAAATCGCACAGATCTCCCTCTCACAGCCATACAACTATCTGGAAAGTTAAAGAAAATGTATCAGTGCTCTCAAAATAATCGACTTTCGTCAAATTATCGTTCCGAAACCGCGAATTTGAGATGTTTTCATGAGTTTGAAGTCATATCTCAAGTTTGCTCAAGAAATTCGCCCAAAATAAAAATCGCGCAGAATATCGTCTCACCGCCATACAACTATCGGAGAAGTTTAAAGCAAATGTATCAGTAGAGCTCGAAGTAATATTTGCCTGCGTTCCGCTAGAATCCGCCATTTTGAGATAGTTTCTTGTGTTTGAAAGATATCACAGGTTTGGCACATAGGCAATTCGCCAAAATCCACAGAAAACTGTCTCATAGCATACAACGATCGAAAATTTAAAGAAAATTTTATCATAAGGATCTCCAAATAATCGAACTTTCGTCAAATTCGTTCGAAACCGCAATTTGAGATGTTTTCATGAGTTTGAAGTCATATCTCAAGTTTGGCACATAGAAATACGCCCAAATTCGCACAGAATATCCTCTCACAGCCATAACAGACTATCTCTGGAAAGTTTAAAGAATTTTATCAGTAGGATCTCACGAAATATGTGCCGCGTTCCGCTAGAAAACGTCGCCATTTTGGATATTTCTTGTGTTTGAAGTCCATATTCTCAGTTTGGCACATAGAAATCGCCAAAATCGCACGGAATATCTGATCTCACAGCCATACCACTATCTGGAAAAATATAAAGAAAATTTATCAGTAGCTCTCAAAAATAATCGACTTTCGCAAATAGCGTTCCGAAACCGCCAATTTGAGATGTTTTCATGAGTTTGAAGGCATATCATCAAGTTTGCACATAGAAATTCGCCCAAACTTGCTCAGATATCTGTCTCATAGCCATACAACATCAGGAAATTTAAAGAAAATTTATCAGTCAGAATCTCGAATATGTGCCTGCGTTCCGCTAGAGACGCGCCAATGTGCGATTATTTTCTGTGTTTGAAGTCATAACTCCAAGTTTTGGCACATAGCAACATTGCCCCAAAATTCGCACTAGAATATCCGTCTCACAGCCATACAACTAAATCTAGAAAAATTTACATAAAAATTATCATGTAGGATCACGAACTAATGATCCTGCGTTCCGCTAGAAACCGCCAATGAGATATTTCTTGTGTTTGAAGTCCTATCTCAGTTGGCTACATAGACATTCGCCAACTCGCACAGAATATCCGTCTCACGAGCCCAGACAACTATCGGGAAAGTATTAACGACATTAAGCAGTGAAGGATCTCGAAATAAGTGCCTGCGTTCCGCAATAAACCGCCATTTTGAGATATTTCTTGTGTTTGAAGCATATCACAGGTATGGCACATAGAAATTCGCCCAAAATCGCACAGAATATCCGTCTCATAGCCATACAACTATCTTGAAAAGATAGCAGAAAATTTATCATAGATCTCATAGATACACGACTTTCGTTCAAATATTGTTTCCGCGGAACAATACGGAACAGAAATCCAACTCAAATCAGAATTTGAGATATTTTCTTGTGTTTGAAGTGATATCTCGAATTTGGCAAAAATAAATTCATTCAAACTTGCACAGCACGTTCCCCTTATACCCATCCTACTATCTGGAAAGTTTGAAGAAAATCGTACGTTTCACTTTTGAGAGAATCGACCGCGTTCCAAAATCGTTCCGCGGAACCAACGGAACGGAAAGTCCAACTCAGTCAGAAGTGGAATCAGGATAAGTAGTTTCTCACGAGTAATAATTACAACGACTATAAACATGTCGATCGTCGCAAATAGCACAGGAACAAAACATATGGCATAATCACATACCTTCATAGGTCGTAGATTTATCCCCGATCGTATGGCAGCCAACAAATCTAATTGCGGGGCCGGTGACGGCGTCCTGTAAAGGAAGTGTTACTGTTTTCCAGGGAGAAATGTTTGCACTTATACGGCCTTGATTCTAGATGAGCCAAAGTTGTTGGATTAGTATGCTGACAGCAATAATTGAACGTGACAATACGTAAATTTAGAGGCTTGAAGTTTATGATGTCATACAATAATTATAGCATAGTAGACGAGGACAGGTTTGGACTATGGAGAATTATTGATTACTGTCGCCAAATCTTGGGACCAAAATAGTACACAATAAAATAGTGTTAAAAGGTAGATTGCTGTTTGCTGATAAGCTACACGGTTGATCAATTGATAATGGCAGTTTTCCGGCAAAACACAAAATGATAAAATAACCGAAATACCTGGCTGGCTGCTTGTTTAGACTCCTCTCAAGCTGGTTTATGACAGGAGAAAGATTACTGAGAGGTGAAGCGTGCTGGATACTGTGCTCTGATATCGGGGGTTGACGTAACAACTCGTGATGGAGTGGTCGTAGTAGTCTTGTGGAGGTGACGGGGCAGCTGGTATTTGCTGGGAAGTGCGGCAAGGTTGGAAATTGTTTAAACTTAACAACACATATTGTGTAATTCCCGGATGGGAAGATTATTTGTATTTTAACAATCGTGAGTGTTTATCACGTTGTTGTGAGAAAGCAAAACACAAATAGCGAAGGTTTTGTCAGAGAGGGGAAGTTATCCCAGTGATTCGAGGTTTTGGTTGATAGTAATCAGTAAAGTTAGGTAAATCATCACTTCCTTTCCGGTAAATCTGTACACTATTCGAGTTCTCAAATCATTTGTTCTGATATGGTAGTGATGAAAGTGTTTAAACATTTGTTGAAAGTTGTGTTGACAGTTTTAAAGTACTTTAAACGCAACGACATATAAAATGTCAGAGTTCTTATCGGGGTCCGGACTCTGGGGCGTGAGAATATGATGCTCTAATAATATGGAGAATGCAGACAGTAGGTTTATAAAGAAATATGAGTTGTATCCGGAAAACACACATAATTAATTATTACTAATTAATTACCAAATAATTAATTAATAATTCGTCTTTTCCACTAACTTTATAAGGTGTAGTAGAAGTAGGAAATGGGCTGACAGAATGGTCCAATGTATCGAGTAAATCCTCAGGTGGCGGTGGTAAGTCGTCCAGGGAGAATGGCGCTGTGAACACAAGGAAACATTACCAAATTCTATATATATATAGAAATTGTACAATACCAATGGTTTCAAGTTGTTGTTAATTATTTAGAATAGCGAGACATATGGACAAATTAACTCTATACTTAATACGTCCTACGACATTTTACTTTAACTGAAAGAACAGTTATAATCCATTTTAAACAATGAAATATGTTTCAAATTACTTTACTAATTAAATTAATAAATACTCACTGTCGTAGGATCAGATGGAAATCTTTGGATTCCTCCACTCTGAAAAATTAGTAGATTAAAAATTTAAAACCAGCTCAAGTTTTTCACGTGCTAATTTGCGTAAACAAATTGTGTGTTTTGTGATAAGTGAAGAAAGAACAGTCAAATATGAAATAGCTATTTATGAAACTATTTTATTCACACTCTAATACTTGTCAAGAGAAACGTATTTTGACGCCAGTAATTTTGATACGCAGTTTTCTCTGAAATCATTGCAACTAAAGGGTTGATGACAGAAGGTTGTAAGAGGAAATCTCGACATCCTGTAATTTCATCTTACAGTGAGTTCAGTGAAGGGCAGTATAGGATATTATAGTAGTTACTGTGTATATAGTATAGTATATTATAGTAGTTACTGTGTATATAGTATATTATATTATAGTAGTTACTGGCCACCGTTGGGGGGAGGTTTATAAGTAAGGACCATTACACGCTCTTGAACTCTTCATGGGTACCAGCTGGGGCACCAATGGTCGGATATAATGGTTTACACTGGGCACACTGATATTATGCAGCCTGGTATATAAAGCTAATTTGTTGGTTCACCAATACAAGTACAAGTGTGCAGCACGCTTCCGCTTAGCAATTCGTAACGATTATCTTAGTAACCCCAACAGGCGTTCACTTATGTGAGTGAGCGTTGACATGGCAATGTCATCGGGGAAGAGACAAACCATGACGGCTTCTCAACTTTAGTAATATATAACAACAACTTATTCAATATTCACTAGTAAATGGTCATATTCCGAGAGTGTTTTATGGATACCGAGTGATTATCAGCGACCCAACGTCATATCATCACCATTCAATGATCCTGACATGTTAGATCATGTACATTATCATGACGAAAGTGACATGGGAAGTTATTATCGATTAACGAATAATGGGTAATGGTGGGTAATGGTGGGTATAGTAATGTGTAACAATGTATTGGGTGATTAGTTAATTAGTTAATTAGTTAATGAGTCTCACGTGTACAGAGGGCTGTAATCCTGCCGGCTGCTGAAGTCGGTGATTATCGTAAATCTGATTTGAGCCTTGCCATTCTGACTGTTGCTGCCTGTCAAAGTTAGGTTTTGTCGGTTTATTGGGATTTAATAGATTAGATTCCTAACTACTTCGTATTTAAACTGTAAGTTAGATTGGTTAACGATAATACATTAATTGGGTGAGCAAATAGGTTAATTCCGTTTTAATAATTTCATCAATTTAAAGAAATCATGATCGAATGAAATGCTCACTCATTTAGCGAATTGGTTAATTCCATGTTATTACTTATCAATAATAAATCATAATCGAATGAAATGTTCACTCATTAAGGAACTGATAAGAGAGTAACACTTATCTTCACATACTTACAAAAACCAGCTCAGTAACTTCAAAGGTAACAAAAATAACCGAATAAATTAAGATATAATTATTCATTATTGAAGCGTGAACATTGCGATTTTATCTTTTGTATATTTTATTAAATCTGTATATTTACGTGCGTGTTACCTAATATTATGTAAGAACAATCGGAACATAATTAATTAGCCGCATTGTTTAAAATTCCTTAAACGCAGTACGCACGTCGTGTTATTTATGTGTTATTTACATCATGTTATGCTGATCTCCACGTGCACACTACATTTTAGTATGTCAACGAACTTGTAACTTTGTGATTAACTGCTAACAAATTGGTTGACCTTTCCTTCTTCACTGCATGCTAGTTTCTACATTACAAATGTATTACGAGTGTTTTAAAGAACTAGCTATAATCTATATAATCTGATATATTTCCTATTTACAGTGTTAATGTTTACCTGTTACCGTGTGTATCAAGGCTAAGTGATGTAAGAGAGTTCTGTACAGGTAACACTGCATCTTCTAGATGGCCTGGGAGTGATATCAATCATTTTAAACTCATATTATTAAAATTTATAATTTCTAATGAGTCTTTCTCAATTTTCTTAGCTCCTCAAAGCGATTATAACTTTAGTTTCAAACACCTAATCTTAGAAACTTTGGAAACAAATAAAAATTAAGATAACCATAAAATCCAAATAAATCATTGACGGCTCTCTTACCGTATTGGTCATTAAAGTGTCGAGGTTGAGTCCTGGAATCTAACTGAGGAGAATCAGTATACTGCCGACTTGGACTACTGTTATCAAACTGTAATCTATTATTCTCCAATTGTAGTAAACTGTTGTGAAACTCATCTCCTTGCCTCTCAAACTGCATTGACAAATCATAGCTTCTGTTCCTCTGGAAGGAGTTCCCATGCTCTGAAGGAACTTCCTCTGAGGTTGTAACCGAGCCGTGCTGTTCGTGCGCTAGCGCGTGCTGGTCGTGCGCGGACACGTTTAGTTCTGCGTTAGGAACCTGGTGAGGAGGGCTGGTGAGGGCTGGTTGGTAAGGGCTGGAGGGTTGATGTTGGGGGGAGCTGGCGAAGTGACCGGACTGGTTGAACTGGTAGGACTGGTTACAGTGGACTTGTTGGTTGAAGTGTATCGAGGTGTTCTGTTCGAAGGGAGCCTGTTGTGGGGAACTCTGGTGGGGAGGCGGCGAGTTTTCCTGGTGGGATGTTAATATTACAATAAGTGCACATTGGTTTATTATCATCATAAATAATCACATTTAGAGCATAGACTACCAAGAAAACCTTCAACAGAATATCTGGCATATTTCTGAATGTTTACTCATCTAACAGCTGGTCAACATTCAACAAGTTCACCAGTACCTGATCAGGCAGCATCTCGTAAAGGTTTTCCTCCTCATCCTCGTCAGGTTGGTCTACCAGATCCCTGTTTTCGTAGACTGGGTAGGAAAGTGGGGGAGGGGGAGAGGCGGAGGGAGGTGCTATGTACAGGGCCTGTCCTGGTTTAATAGAACTCCTGCTTCTTCTCTGGAGGAAGTTTAGTTGAAGGAGAACATTTACGGATTTTTTCAAGTGAGTTGGACCAATATACAATTTAGTCGCAACCTGAATTAATATCAAAATGTCATTGATTGAACGTCTTGGACACTTTTGGCCGTGTTGTGACATGCTCTATTGCATTGTTTTCACCACACATGAAAACACACAAATCACAAGATTAACATTGCATTTACCCAACCTCTGTAAGGTGGACCAAGGTCTCTGTATTTTCTAATGTTGAATAAGTTTAGTAAAAATCGTGCAAACAACAACATTTAATATTAACATTCAACTAGTTCGTCGCGTCTTAGATTAAATTACCGACAAAGCTCAAATATATGTTGATACGATGGGCACCTTGTATAACATATAATATATACCAACCTTGCGAGCCTCTTCAATATTGCAACTTCTTAGTTAGTTAAAACTTACCACTCTCTTCTTTTTAGGGTTCCGGAGAACATTAGCCTCCCGGTTCATGTTGTAGAGCCATTGTCTGAAGAAGAGGGTTGGGTCCGTGTACAGGGACATCCATCTCGCCCATCTGACCTGACAATCATGATTTGTTACCAACCGTTAGAGTTTTTAGTTTATTCAGGGAATTGAAATAAGAAAGTATAGATTTCAATGATGTGAGCGCTCAAACGACTGGACCAAATCGCACTATAAAGAGAGTTCGATTGAGCCACAAAGGAGAACTGACCATCGCAAAGTATAAATAGATTGGGCATGAAAATGAAAAAAACATTGGATTAGAATATAGAATACATCGAGCTGCAAAAATAGCATAACCGACAAAAAATGATAAATAACGCCAATTGTTTCAGTACTTAATTCCTCGCTTGGAAAATATATTAAAAATTAAGTCACTTGAGCGTGAAAAGCTAATACATAAGAACTTACTATTTAATAAAATATACCACTTTGTTCGATGAGTAGATATGTCTACCTTTCAGATAACCACTACTTTTTTACCACAGATAAGAAATTGACGAGAATGAATGTTAGGACCAATAGCAATATGACCTCAAATCAGAACCAGTAGCTATTATTGGTTTAGTTATTAATTCGAGTACTATAGGTACGAGATCTTATCAAATTGTTCAGCAGAACCAAAATAGCGTTTTTGTGTCAAGCACTAGATAATGGTTACGGTGTTCATTTATTAATTTTTTCACTTCGCCCTCTATTGAACCTATTGGGATACAATTTTTTTAAACAGCCAATGCCATATCGTGTATTTTTGTATCTAAGATACTTTGCATAATTCCCATAATTAGGCATTAGTTCAAATATTGGACATTTGGAATATTCATTTCTTTACTAAAAAACATGATACATGTACAGATGTATTTTAGGCATTGATATCCATTGAAAATGATATAAGCCTAACATTTTGCGTTTCGCTTCGTGTCCAAATGCAACATGATCTAAGATATCTACGACGTACGTTATGGCCACCGCTGTGAATATATCATATCATATCATAATTGACATTAAGCATATTGTTGCGTTATTCAAAGCATGTAGAATGTAGATGTTAAGCAGTGAGTTTATATTCCGCACAAATTTAACTCTGAGTATGTACTTAGATCTTTAGAACACAATATAATCTTGAGAAAAATACGAATTCAAATAGGATATTATGTAACACATTCGAGTTTAGAGAAGGATTGAGCTGGACAACTTTGTTAGCCATAAAAACTAAATTAATTATCAGTGAAATCTAAATTAAGTAGGTGCCCCTAAATAGGGCTGGTATGTCACACTCACCTCAATCTAGCGAATACTCCTAGTGGGGGTGGTCTGTCACACTCGTGGTATTTCTCCTTCAGGGCACGTGGAATATACACGTTAAGAATGTGTTGTTCAGGCTTCTCCTGCACTGGAGCCGGCACGTCTGGTAACGCAACTGTAATGGTACCGTTTAGAACAAGAGTACTGGGAATAATCTTTAAGTTATTTAAGATCAAAATTCTCAAAAAGTTTTAAAAGAGTGTGCTGTGATGCGGGGGGGGGGGGCCAATGCCATAAAATGGCAAAAATGGCATAAAATGAGAGACCTTTTTCTATGGAGAAAATGGTAAAACCCATGAGTAATTCTCCAATTTCTCCAATTTGAGCCAAGAATTTTGTCTTCGAAATTTTCATCGTTACACCATTTAACACCTAATTTGGACATCCTAAAAGGTGTATTTACGCTTACTAGGGCGTAACAAGCTTAGAAAGCTCATAGTAGCTACTAGATTGCTTATACTAGTGAGTAGAGGGCACACTTCAGCTAACTCATAATTACTCAAGCTAGTGTAAAGTTATGTCGACAGCACATGAGAGTGGTACTAGGGGAAGTAAAGGCACTGAGAAGTGATACCCTACATACACGACAGTCGAAACAACGCTCGCCTGCAAAGGGGAGGCCTGCCTATCCGAGATCGCATTACCAGGGGAGCCCCTCGAGTTCCAAATTTGAGTATCGAGGGGTAGGTGCAGACTTCGATAAACCTAAAACCAAAAAACTATTTTGCGCTTATATGAAGAGGTAGCATGAAACGTGGAGAAAATGGTTTTTAGAAAAACTTTTTGAAAAATTTTGACTTCGAAAATTTTCGGCCAGTCCTTCCTCGAAACGTACCGTCTCGTCGAGAGCTCCCCGATTCCGGAGCTCGTGTTGCAAAGGGAGCCTGTCCTTCCGAGATCGCATTACCAGGGGAAGCCGCGAGACCAAAATTGTGTACCGAGGGGTAATTCTTAAGTCAAAATTTTTCAAAGTTTTTTTTCTGAAAAAACTCTTTTCTCCACGTTTCATGCTACCTTGTTCATTTAAGCCGAAAATATTTTTCGGTAAAAATTTTCAATTTTTCTGAAATCCGCTTTTCTCCACGTTTCATGCTACTCAAATCATTATTTTCCCGAAAATTTTTTTTCGGTTTGTTTTTTTGTTTTGATTTTTTTTCGAAGTCCAACACCTTCCCCTCAGACACAATGTTGGACTCGGAGGTAATGCGATCTCGGAAGCAGGCCTCCCCTTTGCAACACGAGCTCGTGATCGTGAGCACTCGATACGAAGAGGTACGTATCCGTAAATGACTCGGACGAACATTCTCTAAGTCAACATTTTCAAAGTTTTATCTGAAAACCACTGTTCCCATGTTTCATGATACCTTTCATTATTGGCCGAAAATATCATTTTTTAAATAATGTTTTCTCGAAAATGCTAATTTTTAAGGTTTTTCATGGCCTAAAATGGCATAAAATGGTGCATAAAATGAGACTATTTCTATGGAGAAAATGGAAAAACCTATGAGTAAGTCTCCATTTTCCTCCATTTTATGCCATTGGCCCCCCCCCCCTGTGATGCACGATCCACGGCGAACTTTCGTTTAAGATTTGGCATTTGGCAGTGGTTATTATTCCGCAGCCAATGTTTGTACAGAAGGAATGTAGAATACTGATAAGATAGCACGGAAACTCTTTTATCTATAAGTACTCGGTACTCAACACGGGCCCCAGCCATGCTTCTTTAAAATCCGTAACAGAATACCGTTTCGTTGGTGTACACTGCACAGGTAAACCCTGTTTCCGTTCAGCGTTCCATACTTCCACATGGCTCAATGAGTAAAAAGTGGATATTATAACTGGGAGTTGCGATGATGTTCCCTGTAGCTACATCTGGCCTGATTTTTTCACGGTTCAACAATTTTAATTTATATTGGCCTTGATTTCCCAGCCTTAATAATAAAAGGGGGATACAAAATTTAATGACCATACTTCTTTCTTTAAATTTGTTTTCTAATTTATCAATTAACACCTTAGAAGAATAGCGGGTGCAAATAACGATGGAATTCCGACAGCACATTTTTCATCGTGAATCTGATACGATACTGATAGCTGATAGTTACTTTATTTTATAGAATCAGCATAATTCCTTCTTACAACCTATACCCGCCGTGAAACGCTTGCTCTTGAACTTTGAGTTTTTATTATAATCAATTTTAATGAATACTATAACTAATAGTATATCGAGGTTATCGGACAGATATTGCGCGTACTTTTTCCAATAATGTGATTAGTCATTATAAATCTTTCCCCTCCTCGGTTCCTAACAGTAGTAGCCAATCTTATAATCTCAAGATGTGTGTGTGTGTGTGTGTGTGTGTGTGTGTGTGTGTGTGTTCGTTCGCGTGTACTTTCCGAGCGCTTAACTCAAGAAACCGTTAAGTTATGGGACTGGTGTTTTCGGTAAAAACTCTGGGACCAAGCCAAATGTAAAGGTTTTTAAATTGGGCCGTGGTAAGTGGTTTAATGATTATTTTGTAAACCCAAATGTGATATTACTATAGGTGTGGGTGTGGGGTGTTGGTTCGGTGTATGTACTCTCTCCACGCTCGCGCTCTCTCTATTCTCTTCCCCATAGAACACGAGAGTTGCAGAATATAGGTAATTTGGGCAGTAGACCTCAGATTCCCTAGCAAGTATTACGATTAGATAAGTGAGGGGCACGCAGAATTAAATTGCGGGTCTGTGTTGGACTGAGTGACTTTCTTGCTTTCGCACCGATTTAACTACGAAAATGTAATGCATGTTTTTAGAATGTAATAGGCGGTTTATAACTTTTACATTTCAACTGCGATAGTGAACTCCCGGCCGTAGGCACGGGTTAAACTAGTGGTAATATAATATCATCAATAACGGCCCTAATTTCCTAGCTATCTCTGATTATCTATGTTCTGTAGTTTACAACTCATTCAGGGGTGGCCAACTAATTAGAAGTTGGTATAAGTATAACTCTTCACTCTTCGTGCCTTAACTTAACCGTGCCTTACGTGTGGCTTATTAAGTGTGCACTGACAGATTTACCAACTCTTCTGTAGTCAACCTAATCGTATGTTATCGTACATTTAGTTAATTACCTTCAGTCAGTTTATTTACGTCATTTTATTTTAATTTTAAAATGTAGTGCGGACTATGTGAGCCGTGTGATTTTTCTTTGTTTTATCTGTTATATATTGCAAACTGTATTAATTTTCAAACAAGGCTCAACTTCACCGACTATTGTTGAAGTTGACAGATATATCGGTCAGCAGGTCGCGGTCGGTGGGTCTTAGATCTGAAAACAAAGCATTGAAGGCACAAAATAGATGATAGGTTTCATGATTTGCTGCTATTTTTAGTCGTTTCACTTCTTAACAAAATAAAAAAGGCACAGATTACAGAAGTAACGCAGAAGAAACAGGCGCAGCTGGTCCTTCTGATATTTCTTGGTTAATCGTAATTTCAAAATGTTCACGAGACTGTATATGGTCACTGAAAGTTTGAATTCTAACACCGATATTATTACGAAGAACAATCGAGTTTGTTTTCCAAATACGAATTTCAAATTGAATATTGTCCGGTACTGAAACCAGTGGAGCCCTCTTTATAAACTGTAATCATGGTTTTGGCAGTGTTTTTATTGGCTTATCTCAATATTAGAGTATCTGATTGGAGCAGTGAAGTCACGTGCAGTGTGCACCTGTTGCGTGATTCGTGTTCACGCGTGTTGACCCCAATAATGGAGTTGACATACTGTTTGTCGGTTTGGGCCAATCAATGCTGGTGGTCCGGGTAAAGATATCAAATCCTTCGTCATACATTAACATATATGTTAATTTATGACGAAGGATTCGATATATATCACTAATAAAATTTGAATCAATGAATGAATTAAAAGTACAAGCAGGAACCCGTCTAACCCTTAAGTGGTGTCGCGACATTTAAGCATACTAAATAAATGTATACCTATTTATTCTGGTTTTGAGACACCACTTGGGGGTCCCAATATTTGGGCACTAAAAATGTTATTTCGGGCAATATTTTATTTTTCATGCTGATTTGAGGCCATTAATGACATTTGACCCAGTCAAAAAAAGTTTCCGTTTTACATCTTTTAGGTTTTTGCGGAAAATCGTGTTAAAGTAGAAGCCGTGATGTCAGTCAAATTTTACGGGATAATATATCGTGTCGCTTAATATATAGTGAAGATTGTATGTCACGTTTGAAGTTTTACACACATTGTTCTCCATTATAATCAGTGAAAGCACCGACCACAGAACTCTTTAAACTCACCAGTCTCGTCCTCTTTCCTCTCCTGAAGAGCCTGAGCCAGTGCTGCCACCCTTTCCTCTAACTTATTACTTCTGTACACGTACTTGCTTGCCTCGTTAAACACATCTCCAAACATCTCGTCTGCATATTTAGACAGGGTACTCAGCTGCAAGAGTTGCTTTATATCGATAATATAGTAAAGAGAGCTTTAAATTTGTTATCTGTGCGGTGAAACTTATCAGTTAGAGAGTGGTTTAGTTAGAATATGTCACTAATTGCCTTACGTTGTGTTTCATAGAAGATATGCATGTCCTGGTTATGGTTTAATAACATTTGATATTTGTGCCGAAGTTGTGTTTTATTAGCTCGTGTTGGTGTTTTGTCAGCTCATCCGTTACTTTATGAACACACTATAGATGTGGATTTTGGTGAATAGGTTTCAGAGATTAACCAATCAGTTTCAACTATATTGAACAATCAAATTCCAGAATCCGTGTAAAAAAATAAGCCTCACCTACCTATCAGAATCCTCATCTCAATATATGTCCTGACGTAGTAAAACAAACCTGTCTGATGATAGAAGTGAGCGCGATAAGAGAAGTGGAGGGAAGGGAGGGAGGCATGTTGGTTGTTATACCTCTGCTCTGACATACCAGTGTGGGCTCTACTGTCCGCTGCGCTATCGGCATACCTACTACTGTGTGGTTATTGTTAGTTACCTACTACTGTGTGGATTCTGTTAGTTTTCAGATTACTCAGATTACTCAGATTTCTCAGAGCTTGGCTAGGAATAAATCATAGCACCTGTGTTACTGTGTTTAATGGGAAAGTCAATAATGGATATATCAAGGAGTGCATGGTATTTCGAGGTTAAATAATAAATAACAATAAAACAATTTAAACATGCACTTCAATTGACCTGACTCCTGAGTTTAGCAGATGGCACCACGTTTTGTTGTTTTTTGTTAGTTAAGGGAGAAAACTTGTCACATAACTCCGGGATTACTGGATTAGACTGTACAGAGTGGCCAGATGTTACGACCCACCCTGTTTACTGGACTTTTAGGTGGCACCACGTACCACATTCTGTGCAACAAGGAAATGATAAACTCGTTTATTTAAATCTCGAATTGGCAACCACAGTTTTAATAAGTTAATAAAACGTTTAGCGACTTTTTCGCTTCACAGTAACTTCCATTGTGGTATCAGTTTTAATTAGTTTTAATGTAGTTGTAACCTATTTCTCAGCTCTACGAAGTGGAACATTTATCTAGGATATGAGTTTCTGATGATCTGTAATGCAATCAATTTGCGGACCATTTTTTTACTTTCGCAGAACACGCAACATTTTTCTAGTGTGGTTCAGATATTGTTTTGTTGACAATCCCGTTGTTCTACTATTTGGATTTGTGTTTGAATAATATTTTATAATTACTTTCAATAAAATCATGAACTTATTAACGATGCCAATTTTATGTAAGTTGTAACATGCAGGCTTGTGTATTGTTTTTGATCTTTTAGAGTATCTATATTAACTGGGGCTTCATCTAGATGATACCGAGCAGAGATTTTCTATAGATAATGGACAACTATGATACCAATTTATCTAGCTATGTTACCAATTTATCCCGATGAGTCATAAGAATCTATTTTTATGACTCATTGGGTTGAAACCATCTACTCATCTAGATAAATTGATAGCCAATACAACAAGATTGAGTACAATTAAAAAAAAGCGAGAATAGAGTGACGGAATACGGATTGATTTATGCCGATTTTAAATGTATCAGTCAAAAAAGCACTATATTATTTTTGGCACTATGATGACGACATCACTGATACGTGCCAGCACTGAACCTCAATAAAGTGAAGATGGGATTTATCACTGTCAAATTAACCCTTTTAACAAGCAGGTCAAGATGTTGTAACATAGTTGAGTGCAATTTAATTTGTCGTCTTACAGGCTATATAACATGTAGACGATTGAAAAAATACCCAAGCACTTCCAGAATTTTTATTGTTAAGTATCATCTTTGCTCCTGTAAGAAACACAGGCTGTCGCCAAAATATTGAGGTTTACATGTAATTACATGTAAAACTTTAACTTAAACTGTAAAAAGTTAAACATCCCTTAGTTGAGAATACTGGCCACACCCAGAAGCTGAAACTTGGCACAGTTGTTCCTTGGGCTGTCACCCACAATTCTATTGCACAGAATTTTGATATTTGCCTCTGTTCTCGAGATATGAGGTTAACTTTACCCCATTTTTCGAAAAATGTCGAATTTGGGGTAAAGTTAACCTCATATCTCGAGAACAGAGGCAAATATCAAAATTCTGTGCAATAGAATTGTGGGTGACAGCCCAAGGAACAACTGTGCCAAGTTTCAGCTTCTGGGTGTGGCCAGTATTCTCAACTAAGGGACTTTTAACTTTTTACAGTTTAAGTTAACGTTTTACATGTAATTACATGTAAACCTCAATATTTGGCGCGCGATATCTTAAAAACGCAAGGTCAGATTTCGATCCGGTTTTTTTCTTCTTGTTCGTCTCCAGCAGCTCTGAACAAATATGTGAAAACAGGAAAATCGACTTTTACCCCCCCCCCCCCTCTGGCCTTAAACAGATATCAAAATAGAAACTATTGGAATTTTATTGGTCAGCTTGGTTGCTCAATATATATTTTTGGTTTTGTTCAAATGGAGAAAAAATGCGATTTGAAGCAGGTGTTTTTTGAAGCATTGATATTATTAGGAAATCGTTTTATTTCAGGAACTTGAGGAAGATGAAAAACCTTCCATTTATTATCATGTTAGCGGTGTCTATATTGAACGCAGCCATCTATTATTCATACATTCTGATAACTTACAATTCTGACTTTGAACTGATGGACAAAGTTTGCCATTACTTTTATGGATGCTCTATCGAGGTAAGACAGCTAATCCAGAACATATATTATACATACCTATTACCTATGTAATCAATCCCAAATTTACCATGGCCTAATATTAAATTAACCCTGATTATTAACCAAGGAAATTATTCACCCCAACAGTATTTAAAATTCCCGAACCTTGACTTTCCAAGATATTTGACTTATGGGATGTTTGCGAAAATCCTATAAAACTGGAAATTAAGTGTACAAATAGCGGCCAGATACAACAAAAAAGGAAAATAATAATGAATTATCTTATTTGCTTTATCCAGAATAGTACTAAGGACCTGAAATTAACACTGTTTACTATTTAGGTGCTATACAACGTATCACTAACAACAATGCTTGGAATGTGTGTGGAGAGACTGATCTCAGTTATGGAACCTTTGTGGTTTAGGTATGTATATAATTATAATCCTTATAATGCTTTGAAGATTACATGATATTTTAAGTCCTAACCATCTAAACAATCCAAGACAGTAAAACCAAATAATTCATTTTTTCTATTAATTTCAGCACAGTTTGGACGGAAAACAAATATTCGCTATGGATTAATGTGGCTATGGTAGCACTTGGCACAGTGCCAACAGTTACTCCTCTAGTGACACAATTTGTGGAATATCATCATAGCAGTAAGGATCTTTATCTGTTTTGAACTCTGCAAACATATAATGACTGAAAAATAATGCAAAAGATACAATACCAATCATTGAATGTCAATATTGCATTGATCAGCTATTTGGTATAAAACATACTTCAACTTTAACGTGATGACTGAGACTAAAATATCAAAACAGGAGGTTGGATGTACTGTCGGATGGCTGGAAGTAAATCTCATTTGATGACTTACATATGGCTGAACAACTGTACTATCTACATACCATCTATCTTGGGTGTGGTTGCTGTGTACATTGCAGTTCAGGTCTGCAAGTAATCTTTTATGTCGACAATTTACATTGATTTATTCAAATTGATCCATACACCAGATTCCTTACAAGTCAATTGAATCCTGGCCTATGCTAATAAATAAAATACTACCCCAATATTTTGTACAGGTAAAGGCTACACAAGCTCGTAGGATGACAAGACAATTTAGAGAAGAATGCAAGATTGGAACCAATAAAAGTAAGTTTCAAATCAGTGCCAATTTCTTCATTGTGAAAAGTTAACACTTGAAGACTGACTTACTGACTTAAGTCGGCTTCTTGGTCCGAGCAGCTACAATTCCTCGCCACACGTCGCGGTCAAGCATAACAGATCTTATCTCTTCAACACAGGAAAGGCTGGTGTCCTTCTTTAGCATGTCCAGAAACGTAAGGTGGGGCCTCCCCGGTCTCCTGTATCCATGCTGAGGGTCCCAGAACAGAAGTTGGTTTGCCAGAAGGTCGTCATGCCTGGCTACATGTCCAGCCAGTCTCATTCTTCTGGAGGCTATCATCGCTGATGGCTTGGGGATGTTGCCGTATAAATCACTGTTGTTGATGATTTGAGGCCAACGTATGTTCAAGGCCATCCGGAGCATTCTAGTGTAGCATCCATTGATCCGCTTAGTCATGGATTGGCTTATCGTCCAAGCTTCAGAGCCGTACAGGAGTACGGACTCAACCGTTGCTCGAAAGACACGGATCTTTAAGTCAGACTCAGAGAGATTGACTCTGATGTACTTCGTCTTACTCTCGTTGAGGTGAAGTCCAACGGAGTTAGCAGCCAGCTCCACACTGAGGAGAAGATCTTGCGCTTGCTCTGCGGTGTCTGTTGTCAGTGCAAGATCGTCAGCAAAGTCGACATCTGTCACCTTAACTGCTGGGTATCTCCTGCTTCTTCTGGGGTTGACAGTGAAGCCCAGATCTTTGCCTCTAAGTGCTGTTGTCATCACATAGTCAATGACAATCACGAAGTGTACGGTCAACACTTGAAGGTACATGACAATTTGACTAAAATTGGATCTTGAGAAAGAAATGAAAATCTTTCCAATCAAACTAAAAATGACTTTTTTCAGAGCTGGAAGCTGAAACAGGAATCAGTATGGACAAAATAAAGCAGTCCCTCTATAATGCAAGAATAACTATAATGCTGCTGTGTGTTTTTGTTGGCACCAAACTGCCCATAGCTATTCTGTCTTACGCGCACTACTTTCACATGGCAAGTGATATTTTTAAATTTAAAAATTGTGTTCATATGTAAAATTAAAAATTAAAGTTTTAAACCAATTAATTGAAAATTGATTAAATTGTGTGCAATACCCTAATTTATATACCTATACAATAATCCGACTTCGTACTTTTCAGAAACTCCCGTTTAGTGTCCGAAACTGCGAGTTTGTTGGAAATGTCTGCAGATTCTTTTTCTGTGTGCTTACACCCTTCCTGCTCCCTTTGATGAATACACCACTGAGGAACAAAGTACGGGAATTGGTATGCAGGAAACACCATGACAGCAAATCACAAAGGAGCACTTCATACAGTAATGTTGAAAACACTGTGAGATCAGGAAATAAAACACAAAGAACAGGAAGAGGTGCCTCTCAGATCCACAGCACATCTGAAGGTGTATAATTGAGCACAGCACAAACTAAAGAATGCATGACAGTTTTAAAAACATTCAAACTTGTGATATATGATTTCCAGTGGCAAAACTTTACCATTTGCCCCCCCCCCCTCCAGCTCCTTGCTAAAATTTTGTTGCACCCTTTCAAACATTTTTTCTAGTCCCCTCGGCCCTCTACAGCTATTTGGCGCTTTTAGTGAACCCCACCCCCTTTGTTATGCCACTGTTGATTGCATTGTATTGATATGATACTATAGATTGATACAATAACAGCATTATTAAAACAGTAAATGTCATGTATCCTTGAGAAACCTGCATATAATACAGTTCCGACATTCCGACTGCATGCTAGAGGAATTGCAAATTAGACTGAATGCAATGATCAGAATGAAGAAATTACTTATAACTACTGTAATGTATCAGAGTAGAATAATAATAATTATAATTCTATACTGTTACATAATTTAAAAATTATGGCCCCTTATTGTGGGCAGAGTATGTGTCTTTGTTTAAGTGTCCTGATTTAAAAATCATCTGAGTGACTGCATTAAAATAATTTAAGGTGAGTACCATAAAACGTTAAAACAAAAGGAGTAACAACTAGAACATACTAATATTAATATCAACATTAGAACAAAATACAGTCACCTAATTCTCTTCTCCTACGGTTGAGTATAGAGGAACCATCTTTGGCGTGTCTTAGGGACTTAGACCATTACAAATACCCTGCTGTAAGTTTGCAAGGCATGTGGACTAAGTGGGTCGAGAGTACTCGACTTGGAAGTGGGTGTTGAGAATTCTCAACTAAACTAGAAGATAATGACGTCCAGAAGATGAGGCAGTAGATGGAGTAGTAGAGGAGTAGTAGAGGCTGAAGGGGGAGTGATGTCATGAGGAGATGTAGGACATGAAGGGGGATGAAGGTCAAGGAGCACTATAAGTATCAATTCTATGATAGTTCACCGATGGCGATCTGTGCTAGAGATCGGAAGGCAGTGATGCTGTCATCACTATCATCTCTTAAGATAGACCAGCATGGTTGGTCACTAGTGGAGTGCTCTTGAATGGTTTCTCTGTAGGAACAGCGGTACAGTGGACAGGAGAAGATTCTATGGTAATTGTTGTCCAACCAGGAGGTGACCGGGATTCCCGGTACCGGGAATCCCGGTACCGGGAATGGCAATTTTCAGCTATCCCGGTCCCGGTCCCGGTCCCGGTCCCGGTCCCGGTCAACCGGGTCAAGTCAAATTTTTCATCCCGGTCGCGGTCCCGGTCCCGGTCAAATGCTGATTTATGATCCCGGTCCCGGTTAATTCAGGATTCTTGGTCCCAGTCCCGGTCCCGGTCCCGGTCAATCACTCAAATTTGCCGGGATTTTGACCGGGATCTTTTACATAATTTCATTCACTGTGATTTTAAGTTTTTACTTTCATTCATTGTGAATTTCATCTTTAAACAACCTCTGAGCCAAATAAAACAATGTTTAAAATTGCTAAACAAGTTTACTAGTTTAGGTAACTAATATCGTTACATAACTCATAAGTGCAAACTAACATCAAGTTTTCAACTCGGGCTACGCCCAATTGTCAATTGGAATTGGAGAATGAAACTGTTGAATAATTTGAGGGATCATTGATCGAGGAATGAGGAATGAGGGTGAACTTGAGTAATCAGTACATGAACATTATTGGTGTAGTACATTAGGCCCATGCCCCATATTGACGTTTTTTTTTCAATTATAATGTAAATGAAAGTTGCAGCTTTCAATATGAGAATACCAGTTTTGGTCCCGGTCATCCCGGTCATCCCGGTCAAATCCCGGTCATCCCGGTCAAATCCCGGTCATCCCGGTCAAATCCCAGTCATCCCGGTAAAATTGGATTGTTGGTCCCGGTCCCGGTCCCGGTCCCGGTAAGATAGAAATCCCAGAAATTATTGGTCCCGGTCCCGGTCCCGGTCACGGTAAATTGATAATCTCAGTCCCGGTCACGATCCCGGTCCCGGTCAAGTCACATTTTGTATCCCGGTCCCGGTCCCGGTCCCGGTCAGGCCTAAAATCATGTCCCGGTCACCTCCTGTGTCCAACATCTGACAATTCGGACACTGAGGGTCGCACTTGTTGGCAACCCTTGGCCTTGCCTTGAATGCTGTGAAGGTGATGTCATGGCCATGCAAGAGAGACATTACTTTAGTGTCTGTGCTCCTGCTTGAATAGCGAGGAAACAACTTTTTGCTCCTCTCATCGATGTTATCCAGTATCTCACCCGGATTTATTCTAGGGTTCAGTAATAGGAGATGTTTATTCCAAGTGAAGTCCATAAAGCGGGTTATTTCGTCTTTTGAATAGCTGACAACACCGTTGTGGACACTAGTCAGAAGGTCTATTCTGCTTCTGTTGATCTCGTTGGACCCCGTTGTCCACGTTAGAAACTTACGTAGAAACTATCTCATCAATATGGTGCTGATATCGATGGGCCTTTGCCTCCTCTAGCTGTAAGATGAGCTCTTGCATAAATGAGTTGCTTGTAAGTGCTTTTATTATGAATTTTATAGTGACCATCTTATAGGATATCTCAAGGGGTGGAATTCCAAGCGCGACAGAGGTCAAGTCTTTGGGAGGATGGTGAGTGGATCCGCTTATTTTAAAGAGGACCCTGGCATAGAAGTCTTTGAAAGTGTCGAGGTTATTTTTTAGCCATATTGGAGCAGCATATAGAAGTTTTGTGAGTACTACTGTTTCGAAGAGCATTCTGAGTGAGCTTGCATTCAGGCCTCTGTGGCGGGTGGAGTTTTGAGTGATCCTGTACCAGGCAAACCAGCATTGTTTGAGTTTCAATTTTGCGTGACTCTTGAACGTAAGATTGTTGTCTATCCTAAGTCCAAGAACAGTTGATTGACATGTATATGTTATGGGTCTATTGCCGATAATGAGTGTAGAAACAAGAATTGAATCAGGTATAAAATAATCAAAGGAAATACAAACGAAATAGTAATGAGGAAAACAAGTTTTAAACCCCTTTCAAGACGGATATAGAGAAGAGAAAAGTGTGTCAAACAGTATATATACATTCAATTAAATCAAGTGATGCAATTGGCAGAGCACAATCAAATTTTAAGTGTTGCAATCGGCAGAGCACAATTCATTGCTACCAATAATTAAAAGATTTTTAAAAAAAATTTTTACAAAACACATGATCTACTCCATTATAGGGGCAGGGATGAGGTTGTATGAGACTTCTGATAGCTGAATCTCAAGTTTGGTGTCCACCTTCTTTCCTCGGTACGCCCGTAGAGCAATAAGAGTTGTTCTCAACATTGCAAATCCATTTCAAGACGGATATTGTCCATTGTAAATGGACTATGAGTGTTATTTCTGATCACACATTTATCTCTCTTTTGTGACGGAATACTTCTAACCGTGTTAACCCTCTCTAGCTATGACAAGGAAACAGGGATAACCAATTGGACTGGGGAGTTGCAGACCAGTGGCAGCACACTACCGTCCAATCGGTAAGTATTTATAATGTTTAGTTATTAGGTATTTATTTGGAATTGGTTTAATTTGGTTGTAAAGTTATTCTATTATGTAATAAAGTATTTTGTTTTACAGGTTTTGTACATACGACAAATACGGGTTTTATTGGTCAACTAAAGGTCATCTAACAGTGATAGCAGGAAGTCGGAAAACGTTCTACGCAACGACCTGACAGTGGCACTTTGTTTGTGTGTTATTTAGACTACAATTTAGAGGCTAATTTAGAGACTAATTTGAGAGACAGTTTTAGAGTTTTTTGAGTCGAACTATAACTATGAGTCTTCGTGAGATACCAGTTTTAGACGACAGCGCTGATTACAGCACATGGAAGAAGGTGCTAATATGGCAGCTTGGCACCGCAGCATCAACAAAGCAGCAAGCTAGTAAGCTGATTATGAACATGAAAGGTAGACCACAGGAGGTCTCTATAAACATGACATTAGAGGTGCTAGGAGCAGAAGATGGAGTTGATAAACTCATTGCCGAACTGGACAAACTGTATAAGAAGGACAGTACTCAGTCTTTATTTAAGGCAATAAATGATTTTGAGGGATACAGGAGAGGAGATGAAGAAGATATAGACAACTACATCTTAGAATTCCAGAGGAGGTATAAAATCCTCAAACAGCTGAGAAAGAACGAAGATCTTTACGATGACATGGTATTAGCGTATAGACTTTTAAATCAGGCAAGCCTCAATGATGAACAGGCTAGATTAGTTAGAGCAACTTGCACTAGTACATTATCTTATGACTTGATGCAAGAACAGTTAAAAGGACGTTTGGAGATGGATTCACAAGGAATGAGAATCACTCTAGTCTACCTTTTAAAAGTACTCCTATGGAGGAAATGGTAAAGCAGGAACCTGTATTTCTAGCTGAGGATTACAAATTGGGGTCTCACATTCACTGGACCAGAAATGGGGATCAAAGGAATTTCACGGGTCAACCAATGAGAGAAGAAAACAGATATAACCCTGATGCTCAGGATAGAGGACAGCAGAGATACAACTCATATGCTCAGAAACGAGGACAAAAGCTTTATATGAGGGGGAGTAGTAGTCCCAAGGTATGTTGTTTTATATGCCACCAACCAGGTCATATTGGGCTGGGGAGTTGCAGACCAGTGGCAGCACACTACCGTCCAATCGGTAAGTATTTATAATGTTTAGTTATTAGGTATTTATTTGGAATTGGCTTAATTTGGTTGTAAAGTTATTC